ATAACTCTTTTGAGTTCATGCTGTCCACCTGTTCACCATATGGATGTAAGGATTCTGTTAGCAGCGTTAACTCTCTTTCTAACCAGTCCTTCTCATCACATGGAAAAATATCAGCTTCTGTTACATCTGCCATGGTTATCCACTGTTCTGCAAACCTATTTGGTTAAACAGTTGCAAACTTAGAGTTTTTAACGGGTAAATAGTTTTTTTAAAGTGAGCAGTGAGATTCACACACTATTTTAGCTCTGGGTTCAATCAGCAGTACTGTTATAAGCAAACTTTTCAATAAATGGGCCCCTGTTAAGGCTTTACCCCATAAATATTGTGAGTAAATGCCTCCTTCTGGCAGTGTTACTTAATTATGAGCTTATTTTTGTAACATATACAATGAACCAGGCCATTTCAGTGTTAATTTTACTCAAGTGCACTTAAAATTAATAAACCTGCAATTTTTCTAAGAGTCTGACATCAACTTTAGTTTTAAACGCTTCTTTAAGCAGTTTTAATTTACCAGAATTCGCTATTTAAACAGTACACAGAAACCAGGCTTGATTAACAAAAAAAAAAAAAAATTAAATGAAAAGCAAGTGTTCAGCTTTCTTTCAGGAAAACTGTTATACTCATTTTTCAACAGCAGGTGGCGGTGTAAGCTTACTTTTACCGGTAGGATTCTTATGACAACTTCCTGTGAACCATCCTGTTGACATCCGGTCGCTAGCCGTTAGCTCCAATATAGTAACATTCGAATACAGTGCAAATCAACATTTTATGGACGGATTTACAGCTTTTAACGTGGCTTCTCTGAACAAGCATGCTTTATCTGCATGAAAACATGAGTTTTAGGAACAGTGTCAGGCTTTATTTAGCGTTTTTAAACACAAAGGAGGACTCAATTAAAACGAGCCTCATTTCCGGGGTTACTTGACTTTTCAGACACGTGCACATCGGAGGTGGGTTTTACAATCTGACATCAGAGGGAGTGGATGCACAGAAATACGTCACCAGCTTCTCAGTGAATCAGAACACCCAAACAGCGGTTTTCAACCAATCACAGCTCGTGAATACTAGCTTCCAGCTAGCAGTTAGCAAGGAAAGTCCGGTCAACAATCGCCCATTAAACTTCAAAAATGCACATTTTACTGTTAAAAATGTAACGAATCAGCATAAAAACACAGCATCTGAGGCGGCGCTCAGCTCCAAACAGCTTTTCATCCACTTAAAACACGACTCGTTCAGTCCAATAAACAGAACCGGGTTGGACAGAAGAACCTCCCGGTCATGCTAGAGTTTCAAACAGAATAAAGCGTCTTTCTCACTGAACAGATTGACAATTTTCAGCTTTAACAAGAACACTTTAACAAGACGTCATTACGTCGCCATTACGTCATTGCTTCACGTGATCCGCACCGGGTGCGGATTACAAAATGGATTCCTCCAAGCAGACGGATGGAGCGGAGCAGGTCCAGTCTTGGCAAACGGGTAGAAATGCATCAATAGTCTGGAAATATTTCACTAAAGATGTATCTTCCAGTTCAACTACCGTAAAGGAACAGAAAATGAATCAACTTCCTGACTGTTTGGAGCACGTTGCGAACCGGTGTTGCACCATATTTTGTGACCACCGTATATTGTGACCGTAAGGGGCGGTGTTGCATGCACTGTTGCAAGTCACAGAATATGGTGTAACACCGGGTCCAATGACCGAACCAGAACCAGCTTCGTCTGACCTTGTTTCACAAACAAAAAGCAAAAAAGATTAATCTCTAAACCTATAAAAACCTATAAACATATTAATCTCTAAAACTAAACCTAATGTGCACCACAGCTGGCGGTGGTGTGGGGTGGTTAACCCCCCCACTGTTTTTAGTTTCGTTTTTGACGTGCCGCACGTTTCTTTTACTTTTGCAGCTTAATAATAAAAACTACTAGTTTAGTTTTTCCTGTGACTTATTTGCTGTATGATAAATAGTAGGAGCATAATATACTCTCCCAATGTTTTGTTGGTCTTTTTTTTTTTTTTTTT